TTTAACTTCTACTTCCATCCAGTTGACTCCTAGCAATCTTCGATTATCGTTTTATAGGCCGAATCAACAATTGAAAAGTTGCATTTGAGTCCTCAAACTTTGAATTTCGCCATTTTTCGCTACATTTTGCTTCTTTACTCCAGTTATTCATCAAATATCGAGTTTTACCTACAAGATGTAATGTGACACAATTTAGGTCATATTTTGCCAAAAGAACAATAAAATTTTATAGTTTCAAGTCCCGAATAAGTGCAGAAAATACACTTATCATTCATGATAATGTCAAAATCTTCACCATCATAGCAGAAATTAAGTCATCCCACTTCGAGAAAAGGAGGGCCATATACAAAACATTATATTGCAACCACTCTATGCTAAACCAATGCTATGAATTCAACACACAAAGGATGTATAGAATTTTGAAATATGCATGTTCTATTGGCAAAGCAATTTTCTTTTACGATCTATATCAAATTGCGATTACAGCAGTACATCTCTATCCCAGATATACTTAAGTAATGCAAGTTATGCTGGATAGAAGAACTTTGAGACATTCATACTCATTAGTGCCTTTTTTTCTGTGAAAATATAAATCAGACTTCTATTATTAAGTAATTTTAGTGTAAAAATGATTAGCACGATATATGGCAACATGGAATTAAGGTTCTGGTAAATGGAATTTGGAAAAAAATTAATGCAAGTTTGAATCATCTCCTATGAGTTCGAAATCTATGCCATCAAACACAGTATAAGAGCCTGATTTGGCACATTTAACATTCTCTTTTCACAAATTCATCTCAAATGTCAACAATATTGCGCTCCCCACATGATAAGAAGCTGCAAAACGGAATCAATATGCATACACATTCAAATACAAGTTCAAGATGTTCCAACTGCAGAGGCTAGTTGATTTAATACAAAGATAGTCATTTATTTTCCACTTAAAATAAAGCACAATAAATCTGAAGTACACACATTCAAATACAATGGACAGCATCACTGGTCATTATTTTGTATATGTATTCAAGGATCTACAAGTCTAAGATCTCCACATTTCTTGTACTATATTATCATACACAAGTTCGTCTCACAATGTGCATCGCGCACATATTAATTACTAGAAAACATTCGCACAATAAGACTACCAGCTATCGAGTGAATATTGAGACAGAATTTACACTACCGAACTCAAGCTCATCAATGGGGAACAACATAAACAACATGAGGAACCTTCCCATCATCAAACGGCAAGCTGAGGTATTCACGAGCGAACTCCTCCGCAATATCAAATGCCAATTCCCCATGCAAGGCCTTGCAGTACATATACAGCACTGTATGTGCAGCCACACTGTAAAGCATCAAAACAGTCATAAAACCCGAGCACACCACTGTCTGCAATACAAATGCCCAGCTAAGCCGCCCTCCTCGAATATATCCAGCATTCAAAACCAAAGACGAGCTCGCCATTGCAAAAAGCCCTATCAAGATCCCGAACGAGAACATCACCGCTAGCGCGACCCATCTCATTCCCTTTATCAAACACGCACTCCTTTTCAATGGCTGAAGCCCCCATTTGGATTCCAACACCACAACCACATAAGCCAACGACCACTCCACCGTCAAGTAAATTAAAACCGACACAGCCAAAACCATGACGAAAACAGCGAAACACAGAAAGTAATTGGACTCGTACTCAATTTCAAACCCTAAAATCTGTACCCCTTTATACACCAAACCCACAAAGACCCCAAAACCCAATACAATCAAACCCACGAGTACATTCATAACAACAAGAGTAACAAAAAGGGGTAGCACCGAATACAAAACCGATTTCAGCGATGAAACCAATTTAACGGGTCTACCATAGAAGCCGTGGAAAGTACTGTAAGTGACGGAAGCGGTAGCTAGTAGCGAGAAAACAAAAACGAACAGTGTACGCAAGAGGGAGTAGGAAGCGATGGGGATTTTGCGGGTTTGAAATTGTGGGTTGTGATGGATTATCAACAGAGAAGTAAAGGGATCGGTGAAATTGGGAAAGAATGGAGGAATTTGGTTCATAAAAAGTGGTTTGAAGAGTTGGGTAGATGACGGATGAAAAGGAAAGGGGAAGAAGGAAAAGTACAGAGAGAGCTAAGAAGTGGCGGGAGTGGGCACTGATTATGCGCTTTGTTTCAGAAATAACTCCGCAAAGGTTTAGACCATGGATTTTGTGAGTCGCCATTGATGCAGGATTGTAGAAAGCAACAAAAAGAAACTTGCGTAGATGGGATCGGGGAAGATGAAATGAAAACATTATCTAAAATATTGTTTTTTTAGAGTCAATTTACACATTGCAAGTGAATTTTCTTATTTGGAACTTGTTTGGTAGTGATTTTAATCCAATTAAAATTGAAAATATAGCCGTTATTGGGTCTCACCCGTTTAATAAAAGTCAACAATAACGGCTATATTTTTAATTTTAATCCGATTTTAATCTCTCCCAAACAAGCTCTTAATTAAC